ATAGTTTCATTTCCTGGATTAGCATCACATCTACTCGATTACGATGAATCCATGATTTGATCCTTTTCCCCTTCGCCTTCCCCCATAGGTCCCCCATTCCCCGAACGTTCCAGGTTGCTACTCTTATCCTACCCATTGCGAATTTCGTTCAGGTTGGCAATTTGGATACCTGCGGGTGGTGGGTTCATGCCCCTGATCTCCTCCTCACTAAGCTCTATGTCTTGAATTTGCCATATGTTTGTGAGGCAGCGCGTGAAGGAGCTACACTTCAGGTTGAAAGCACATGGTATGTTGGGACTCTGATCCGCCAGCCAGGATGTCGAAACTCCTGGTACGAGAATAACCTGTGAAAGGATATCGATCGAGGGGAGAGTCAAGGCGTTCAGTGGGAAATAACCCAGTCCCACCTGACGTAGATTCCCCCATGCCTCGGTTGACAGTCTCGCATCAATGAAGACTACCGTGAAACGGACCACTTTGTCTATTGCAACTTCGGTGCGTAGTTTTGGCATTAAAAAACTTTGGGAATACACGAAAATCAAATCTGTCTGCAAACAAATAGCGCACTCTCTCTTGAATTAACGTTGGCATCAGAGGTTCGTTCGTGCCTATAGTAGGCAACACTAGTTGCTCATTCCGATCCAGGAGGCCAATGACAAACGCATTTGACCCTTGCATCGTGCAAACGAGGGGGAGAATCATAACTTCTTCAAACACCCCATCATCATGATTTGCTGTCGCCACCCCCTCTGGAATACCCCGTGGGGATTCGTCCATAACGGAATACCCCGTGGGGATTCGTCCATAATATCACCGCGGAGTGGAGTGGAAGTCGGGGTGCCTTATGACTCCCTCTCACCATAAGAGCCCATTGCCTCCTCGTCCCCTTGCGTTCCTGTGCATCCCTGATGTTCCGCATCCGGAGCTCCTCTCCCGAATTCTGGTTGTGAGTTGCGCTGCTGGTTCCCCACCCCCACTGTTGTACTCCTGCTGGATGCAGGGCTCTCCATATGGTCGAACTCTCCATCTGGGAGCAGAACCTTGTCGTTGAGTCCATCTCCAGTCTCATATAGATTGCGATGTGGAGTCTCTTGGGCTGGCGCGAGCAAGCCATAGTAACCGTGATAGTAGATGTAACCCAGCGGAGGACCTGAGAAAGGGACATAGGGTTGAAACCCAACTCCGGTCCCATAGATGGGAGGTATGGGATAAGCATGACCAACTCCTTGAGGTTGTCGTGGTCCAGCGCTTAGTCCACCTTGTTGCGATTGAAAGGAGGGACGATAAGCACCACTTCCCTCCCCCGTGGAATGTCGGACGGTCCCATGAGCATCCCCGGTGTGAGCTCTCGCAGGATGTCTCCTACCGCACGTATCTCTCAGTGCTAAGTTGCTCTCGCTTCTTCTTGGAGCTTGAGTGTACTCCTGTCTTGCTGCATCCCTGATGTGACGATTCGCTGGTTGTTGTCGTTGTCTTCCATCCGCTTGGCTTGATCCTTCGTCCTCCTCACCTTCTTGTGGACGTCCTTCCGTCGAAGTGTGAAACCACCATCTGCATCTATCACACCACAGAGTGTGCTTACACACAAATTTTATTAGGAGTACCTCTCTGCCCAGACGCATTGACAGTTCTGGCGCGAACTTATTCTCTGCCTCCCTGACAACCTCGAATTTAAGATTCATGAGCTTGGGTCTAGTGCAATCCTGTTCTGGCGGCAAGCTCTTGATTACTCGACCCATTGATGTTTCTACCATGTTCTCCACATGAAACATCACTCGCAACGGCACCCGGATCGCCATTACCCAAAATTTGGACTCATCTTCGAGGCGTCTTCTCTCTTCTAACTCCGACTTAGTCATCCACGACTTGAATTGCATGGTGTATTCCACCCCTCGAATGACGATGGTATCTTCAGCCTCTGCTACCATCCATTGTGCTACCTCTCTTGACCTTGCCACATAAGATATCACGTTCGGACCTTCTGCATGCACTCTCCCTCGGCCAGTGTTCCGCTCGAAGGTCCATTGACGGTACCATCCATTTTCATATGCCCAGATCAGATCCTCCCGCACTCGCATCAGCAAGTCCCTGGCCGCCCCTGGGAAGATGACATTAATCGTGCGTTCCTTCAGCCAACTTATAGTGAGTTCGTCTAAGCGGGGGTTGATAACGAAGGTACGTACTCCTCCTTCAACGACCCATTCGCCACACCGAAATTTCTCCGGAAGTACCCCGTCGTCGTAGCACTTGGAAATTAACAATCGCAGTCTATCCTCGTCGGACAACGACACATCTGCCTGGCCTGGAGGGGAACGTCCTCTTCCCTCGGATTGCCCTGACGTTCTTCCTTGCGACGCCAACCGCTCAACCCACCAACGTAATCCTTGACCACGCCAACTGTAGCTTTCGAACTCTCCTCTCGTGTTCATGTCAAAGGCGAGCGCCGGTCGTTGGCGCGCACCCACTGCTGATGCCTTCGTATCTTCTAAATGGTCCAAATTGTTCGCATACCCAAATTCTTCAACAATGGTGAAAGCTAACCTACCGTGGGGACAGCCCGAGGGTCTTCCTCACCATGGAGAAGGCTCGGGAATTACCGAGCACGAAGACGCTCTGACAGCACGGTCATCGAGTTGGTTACTCGTGGTGATGGCTGCCTCGGTCCTACTCGAGGACACTAATTTAGAGCGCAATCTGCGCCAACCGCCGTGTCCCCCGGGCCTAGATTCTTCGGGTAGCGCAACGCCTGGGTACCGCTACCGGAGTGGAGCGCCAAGATTAGCGCTACCGGAAGACTCACGGCCTCCCCTACCAAAAGGCGGATGGTCGTGGGTCCGATCCCTTGTCCGGTTTTCTTTTCTTTCTTCTTTACTTTTCTTTGCCGTTTTTACTTTGGGGCTGGCCGGACAGTACACGAAATGAAAAAAAGACTACTTCGTTTTGTGAACATCTCGCCGCACAGTGACCACACGAAACCTGTCAGGAGAAAGTCGCGAATGCTGTCAGAGTTGGAGTTCGCGAGCTTGCGCACGTGCCCCTTCCGTGCCCGCCTGCAACTCGCAGGTCCTCTTGATGGCCGGTGGAGGTGCTGTGAATCGCCATGAGTCTGGGAAGTCCGTCCAAAATTTTGGATCTTAGCGCATGCCAGAACTCGCGACCGTGCTCCGGGGTGGACCTTAGCGCATGCCAGATCTCGTTAGGTCGCTCCCGTGTGGCAGTTCGAATGTGCTGTGCGTCGGTGAGGCCATAAACGGAACGAAAAGATGATTTAGTGGCTCGCGAAGCCTCGCGAGTTCGATGGTCGTTTCGTTTCGTTTCTTGTGCCGTCCCGCGAGGCCCTTTGTTCAGCTGGTTGCATGGGAATGGATTCGAACCCTGGTCTTCAACAGGTCATGTTTTTTTTTTTTTTTTTTTTTTTTTTTTTTTTTCTACCAGCTGAGTTAGAGTAAGCAGGCCGTCCGTCAGGACATCTGTTCTTCGAAGGGGAAACTATATAGGGCCTTGCTCCACTACTCAACATTCTACATGACATGACTTTGGACGCATTTCTGCACTTGTGCATTAGGGGGAGTTCAACAGTTTGAATGTATCTGGATGATTATGATTAATACATATCGAGTGTTCTGCGGTGGAGCAAAGCCCATAGAAAAGAGAAAGGGCCTCGTTCCACACCACTTCACTCCACTTCAATTTCAAGTGTGGCACTTGAGCCGCGTCACAGGGTAATCGTCATTAAAAAACACTTGAGCCTGGCACCGTTCGACGTTACACTCCACTCCACACTCAAAACAGGAGCGGGAAAGTGGCAGAGGCGGTTGGCGTGAGGGAAGGGGGGATATAAAACAAAAAAAGAAAAAACTGGGAGAACGTGCAGCACCTACAACCACCTCCCGACTCTCACTTGCGCCGTTTTGAAGTGCGGCTCAAGTGTGGTCGGAGAGGTGACTTGAAAAATTCACAGATTCTCCTGGGCCGCATTTGAGCTGCACTTGACGTTTTTGGCGGGCGCCGGGAGAGGCGGAAAGCCTAATGGCGATTAGGGAAGGTGAAAGTCAAGTGCAGTGCAGTGTGGAACCAAGAATTTCTCAAGTATTTCTGAAGTGGAGTGGTGTGGAACGAGGCCCAAAGACTACCGAAGGTAGCATGGCCCCTGCGAAAGGATGACGCGCATAAATTTGGATGGAGAATTAGGGCCTCGCCACACCACTCTCGAAATGTGAAAAAGACAAAAACGTGGCCGTTGCATCTGCCCATGTTCTAGCTCGAAGTTCATCCTCATTTTGCACATTTCGAGAGTAGTGTGGCGATGCCCTTATATATTGTTGTAGTTTTCGTACGCAAGCCCCTGGCAGCCGGTGTCAGTAGTTAGGGCCAGATCCCACTGGCCCCTATTATTCACTTCTCACCGTTGATCTTCGTAATCGAGGGTCAAAAATGGACAATAGGGGCTAGTGGGATCTGGCCCTTAGTGCGTGTCATCCATGCTATGCTACCGTAGGTAATCTTCTGTGTATGTATCGTCTCGTCGTTCCAATCCAATTTTAACGGATTTCCCCCCAAAGGGCTACCTTCGGTAGTGCTCCACTTTCAGTCAGCGTGTCAAGTACATGTACATGTCATCATCCTTTCCTGCGTGTCATCCTTGCCCTGTTGCCATGCTACTGTAGGTATAATCTTCTTTGTAGCGTTTCAATTGGCGTAGGCGCCATCATGCGAAATCATGCGAATCGTCCCTTTCCCCTCTACCGCGGCTATTTTAACGGATGCCCCGCAGGACGGTGGAATAATTCCCCCCCTCGAGCGAGCCTTCTTCCTTCCTTAAGCTAAACGCGCAATTTGTCCTCTTCCCTTTCGTCGCTCGGTCTTCTGGTTCTTCCGTTCTTTCGTTCGTTCGTTCATTGCGTTCTGCCCGAGTCGTTCATTCATTCTCTCGGCCTACCGGTAGGCCGCCCTTCGTCTGGTCGGTCGGTCAGGGATTCCCGCGTCGGTCGGTGGGTCGGTCGGTCGCTCGGTGATGTACAGACTGGTCGGTCGGTAGGTTCGACGCTGGTCGTTATTTCGCCGTTGGTCGGTCGGTTGGCGTCTTCCTCCTTTGTGTATCGTTCCAATTTTAACGGCTGCCGCCCTGAAGGACGGTCAGGAATCCCCGCGTTGGGCGGTCGGTAGGTCTGTCGGTAATTTCCTTGCTGGTCGTCCCCGCGGTGGTCGGTCGGTCGGTAATTTCCCCTTGCTGGTCGTTCCCGCGTTGGTTGGTCGTTCACTTCGCCGTTGGTTGGTGGTTGGCTGGGACGTTGCTTCATTCGACCGGTCGGTGGGTCTGTCGTCGCCGTGTTGGTCGGTCGGTCGGTCTGTCGGTCAGGAGTTCCCGCGTTTGGATGGGCGGTCGGTAATTTCCTTGCTGCTGGTCTTTCACGCGTTAGCTGGTCGTTCATTTCGCCATCGGTCGCTCGGTCGGTCGGTCAGTCAGGAGTTCCCGCGTTTGGTATGGGCGGTCGGTATATTTCGTTGCTGCTGGTCATTCCCGCGTTGGTCGGTCGTTCATTTCTCCATCGGTCGCTCGGTCGGTCGGTTGGTTCGTACGTTGGTTCATTCCTTCGGTTGGTCCGCCGGCCGTGAAACGAATAAGGGGGATGACGGACCGTCTTCGTGCTACCAGCAGTAGTGGTATTGGTTGCAAAGGCAAGGAGAGAGTAGCAGCTATAGCGGGTCACATCTGTCCGATAGCAGGAGGACCAGGAGATAGAGAAGGAGATCGAGGAGGAGGAGGAGGAGGAGGAGAAGTCTCACGTTTTGACGAAGTTTCGTTGTTGGCGGCGATGGCTAGCGAGGAGGTCCATTGCGCGCCAATTTCTGCTTGGGCGAAGTTGGCCCAAGCTCCAGAGGACCCCATTCTCGGGGTGACGGTCGCTTACAACAGGGATCCCAATCCCGTCAAGCTGAACCTTGGAGTGGGTGCGTATCGTACGGACGAAGGGAAGCCGTACGTCCTTCATGTCGTACGTCGGGCCGAAGCCGCTCTCGTGGGCGACAGGAGCCGCAACAAAGAGTACCTGCCTATCGTCGGCCTGGCGGCGTTCAACAAGCTGAGCAGGGCTTTGGCATTCGGCGCCGATCATCCTGCCGTCCTGTCGAACCGCATAGCCACGGTGCAATGTCTGTCGGGGACGGGATCTCTGCGTGTGGGGGCGGAGTTCATGGCCCAACACTACCACACGCCCGTCATCTACGTGCCTGTCCCGACCTGGGGCAATCACAACAAGGTGTTCCCCAAGGCCGGCCTGAAGCTGCTCACTTATCGCTACTACGATCCGGCTACGCGAGGGCTCAACTTCGCCGGGATGATCGATGACCTCCAGGCCGCCCCCGATGGAGCTGTCATCCTTCTGCACGCCTGTGCGCACAACCCCACCGGCGTCGATCCTCTCCCGGAGCAGTGGGATGCCATTCGACAGGTCATCAGGGCCAAACGCCAGCTGCCGTTCTTCGACAGCGCGTATCAGGGATTTGCGAGCGGCGATCTGGACGTTGATGCGTATTCTCTGCGAAGTTTCGCTGCCGACGGCGGCGAGATGGCCCTTGCCCAGAGCTTCGCTAAGAACATGGGTCTTTACGGTGAGCGAGTCGGGGCATTGAGTATGGTGTGCGCGACGCCGGAGGCGGCTAGGCTTGTGGAGGGCCAGCTGAAGCTTGTCATTCGACCCATGTATTCCAGTCCCCCTCTTCACGGCGCCGCTATCGTTGCAACTGTGCTCGGTGATGAGAAGCTGTTCCAGGAGTGGAAGGTCGAGCTCAAGGGCATGGCTGACCGAATCATAGACATGAGGGAGAAGCTCTACCAAGCTCTCGTTGCCAGAGGAACGCCGGGCAATTGGACTCACATCCTCAAGCAGATCGGCATGTTCACGTTCACAGGATTGAACAAGACGCAAGTGGACTTCATGAGAGAGAAGTATCATGTGTATATGACTGGAGACGGTCGGATTAGCATGGCGGGGCTGAGCACATCGACGGTTCCAAGGCTTGCAAATGCGATTGATGATGCTGTAAGGAATGTCGCCTGAAAGGAGGACCAGACGCATTCGTTCGTTTGTGCTTTGGCACCGGAGGAGAGGAGCAGATGATGATGATGACGATGATGATGATGATGATGATGATGATGATATCATCAGCACGAGAGCCATCATCAGAGTGCTTGCGATGAAGACTTTTCTGATTGATCCGTTGCCGTCGAGAGGACGGCGATGGCGATGGCGATGATGATGATGATGATGATGATGATGAGGAGGAGGAGGAGGAGGAGGAGGATGGGTGGTGGAGAAGTTGGGTCCGTTCTTCCTCTTCGATCGGACCGTTCGTATTTGTTTTTCCTTTGTTGTTATTGGTTTTCTTTTGTTTTCTGTTCTGTATTAATTCTTTTGGGTAGGTCGCTGGTGACGGAGACAGAGAGACAGTATTCTCTCAGTTGTTTATGATGGACGTGAGCAAAATGAATGCTAACGGGCTTCTCTGCGGAGAGAGAGAGAGAGGGTAGACAAATTTGTTTGTTTTTGTATTCTTTATCATTTTTGGAGCAATTCACTGATGAAGGACATTGTGACAATGTTCTCTCAGTTGTCTGTGAAGGATATGCCTGCGCGCGCGCGCGAGAGAGAGAGAGAGAGAGAGAGAGAGATGTTACGGAAACAGTGGAGGGAGGGAGGGGGGTATGCTTATGCATAGAGAAGGATGTTTGGCGCTAAGGAAGATGGTGGTGGGTATGACACTGACGATTCGACTCTAGTTTCCCAAAGCTCTTGATTGGCTTTGTGGGAGCTGCTTTGGTACATCACAAGCTTTGTGTAAGATTTGCAACGGAATTGTTGCGTAGAGGACTTGGACCTTCCTGCCGCTAAGGTGATAAGGTGATTACCCCGTCCTGTCGTCTTGTTGAACACAAAGCGCTCTGTTATTGAGAATGTATACACGCTATCTTTCCGGTTCCGTACAGCCATAAAGGGGGTGCGTTGTGATCGGGGAAGATGGTGGCCAGGATATTGCTGTCACCGGTGACTGGAATATATTCTGAATGATAGGCTTGGTTCATTCTTTGTCCAGTTGTAATTCCTCCTCCTCCTCCTCCTCCGCTTCCTCTTCCTCTTCCTCTTCCTCCCCGTCGTCCTTTCTTCTTTTTCTTATTCTGTCCATCCACGATCATTGTACGAACCTGACCGGGAAACCTGTGTGTATTCATCAACGTTGTAATTCCTCCTCCTCCGCTTCGTCTTCCGCCTCCTCTTCCGCTTCCTCTTCCGCTTCGTCTTCCTCTTCCTCTTCCTCTTCCCTGTCGTCCTCTCTTTTTTTCTTATTCTGTGCATCCACGATCATTGTACGAACCTGACCGGGAAACCTGTGTGTATTCATCAACGTGTGATAGAGGAAAAGTACGTGTGATTAGTTTGCCGGCGGCCGTGTGAGAGTTGAAAAGGCGACCTGTAGCTTGCGCGATTCATTTTGAGCGTTAAGGCTTTTTCGCTGCACTAAACCAAATGGGCAAACATGAGAACGAATCTTCCGCTAGAACGTGGGAAGATGCATTATTGAAAGTTGACCTGCATAGTTTTAGTTTCTCTTTTGTGTTTTTTGGGAGTAGAGTGGAGCGAGGTGGTCTTAAGGCCAGGAATTCGATCCACAGCTCACAAAATGAGTGAAACGAGAATGAATCTTCCGCTAGAACGCCGGAAGATGCACCGGCATGTTTTTTTTTTCTTTTGTGCATGTGGTGAGTGGAGAGTGGAGCGAGATCTTAAACCCACTAGTAGTGCCTTGACCCGGATTTGCCCAGTTGAATGAATCTTCCGCTAGAACGTGGGAAGATGCCCCAGCTGAAAGGGGCTTTAAGGAATTTGCAATGATTGTTCTCTCGAATCGATCTGTCGTAATGCACAGTCCAAAACCTTTTTGTTCGGACATTGAGGGTGTATTTGCACCACTCGCCATCCGCCAAGATTTTGAATGCATCTGGACAGAGTGATGTCCAGATGCATTCAAAATGTTGGCACAGTCCAAAACCTCTGTTCTGACACTGAGGGTGTATTTGCACCACCCGCCATCCGCCAAGATTTTGAATGCATCTGGACAGACCGATGTCCAGATGCATTCAAAATCTTGGCGGATGGCGACTAACTCCTCTTTTTTTTTTTTTTTAAATTCTGTTGCAATTAGGCCTCGAGTGAGGTGTCGAAGCGTTCTGAATATGATATATGCTTTGGTTCATTCTTTTTCTGTCCCGATGCAATGAATGTGTGATTGGTTTTTGCCAGCCCGCCATATAAAAGCTGAAATAAGGAAATTTATTTTCTATCGATCGATCCGCGCTGCTCACCGGATTTGCAAAATTCTCTGAAATGCAAAATCCTCTTAAATGCATAATTCTCTGAATTGTGGCAAGATGCACCCGACATTGGTTTACCGGCGGCGGCCATGTGAATTGCATCTAGAAAGATCGTTCTGTAAATTCTTGTCGATGACTGGAATATTCTGAGTGATATATACTTGGGGCTCGTAGACTACTGGTCGAGTGCTTGCTTCTCAAGCTGAAGGTCGCGCGTTCGATTCTTTTGTGATGGACTCGTTTGGTCTATGCTTTGAGTCCGGTTAGTTCACATTGTCCTGATGCAATGAATGTGTGATTGGTTTGCTGGCCCGCCATGTGAGCTGAAAAAATAATATTTTTCTCCACTCTCTACTAAATGTGCAAGATCAGCGAGCGAACGAGAGAGAGAGAGAGAGAGAGAGAGGAGGAGGAAGATGAAAGGAAGAAGGTAGAGGAACAGCGAGAGAGAGAGAGAGAGAGGAGGAGGAAGAGGAAAGGAAGGTAGAGAGAGATGAATGTGTGATTAGTTTGCCGGCCCGCCATGTGAGCTGAAAATAATATTCTATATGGGCCTCGCCGGACTACTAACCAAATGTGGAAAATCAAAGAGAGATAGATAGATAGATAGATAGATAGATAGAGAGAGAGAGAGAGAGAGGAAAGGTACACCCGTCATAGTTTTTGTTTTTTTCCCATTTGGTGCGTGCTGCGGCGTGGTCCTCCGTCTTCCAGCGTTGGAGTCTCTAATATGCTTATACAATTTTTGTGGGAAGAATGTCCGTCTAAAAACACTTCAAATGCATCTGGACATCGTTCTGTCCAAATGCATTCAGAATCTTCGGGGATGGCGATATCCAGTTTGTTCGTTATCCCTGTTTTGTGGTCCGTCCGCCAACATTTCCAATGAATCTTCTGGCGGATGGCGTTGTCCAATATTTCGACAGAATATCCGTCTGACGGAAGGTGCGATGACAGACCAGAAATTCGTGGATCAGTGTACGATAGAATCTTTTTTTTTTTTTTTTTTTTTTTTTTTTTACTTCCTTATAATCACCGTGCTCTTCGTTTCGCTTAGCTTTTCCCTAGGTCTTCTTCTTCGTTGTCATTACGATCTTCTTCGTCATCATCATCATCATCATCAATTCGATCTTCTTCATCATCATCATCACCATCATCATCATCAATTCGAGCTAAGGATCCAGTCTCGCTTGTAGTTGTGCCGTGTCCACTCACAACACCGCTCCTCTCTCCTCCTATTTTCTCTTTCCTCCTCTCCTCTTCTCTCTCTCCTCTCTCTCTCCTCTCTCCTCTCTCCTCTCGTCGTCGTGCTTGAAAACAGGTGCCGTCTGTCCCTGCCCTCGCAGAGTCAGAGCAGTCGTGGTGGGGGACCACCACTTCCATGAAACTTCTTCATGTGCTCATCTGTAGCCCTTGGTTGGGTGGTAATAGGACGGGGGGGGGAGACCACTTACATGGGACTTCTTCATGTGCTCATCTGTAGCCCTTGGTTGGGTGGTCATAGTAGGACTGGATGATTGATTGGTCGATCTGTTGATCGATCGATTTGGTGGATTGATTGGTGATGGTAGGCATGCGGCTGAATAGAATAGATCGAATTTGGGGATTAATTGTGCTTGATTGATCTATGGATGGACGGATGGATGGAATGGATAGATGTGTGGATTAATCGATTTATTGATGGATCCATCGTTTTCCTTTCAACGACCGCCAACTTAAGTGAGTGAAATTAACTGGATGGATGATTGGTCGATGGATATCGTGATTGATCGATTAATTGATTAATAGAGTGATTGATTGATTCTTCGGTTGATTGTGTGATTTATTGATCGATTGATTCGTTTGATTGTTTGGATGGATGGATGGATGGACGGATGGATTGAGTTGATTGAGTCGATTGATTGTTTGGATGGATAGATAGATGGATGGATGGATTGATTGATTGATTGAAGTATGAGATTTTGCCTGATTGGTTGATTCGATTGATTGCTTGGATTGATTGATGGATTCGATTGATTTTGTTGGGATGGATGGCATGCTTGATTGATTCGATTGATTGATTGATTGACTGATTAGTTTGCTTGCTTGATTGATTTATTGAGCGGTTAGATTGGTTGATTCATTTATTCGATCGACTGATTCGATTGATTGATGTCTTAATATGATTAATTTGATTGATTGATTCGGGTGATTGATCTATGGATGGATTCGATTGATTGCTTGATTGTTTGGATGCACTAACTCGATTGATTGATTTCTTTATTTCTTTATTCAATGATTATATTTTGCTTGATTGATTTAGCGAACGATTAGATTGACTGAATGTTTGATTGGCCGTTGATTGATTGATCAGGAACTTCGCAAGCAGTACTAATCACGCTTTGTTTGCTCTCAATTAATCTATCGTGTACTTCCACGACGACGACGATAGCTTGATTGGACGGAGGATTGAGCTTGACCGCCGTTGCGTTAATTTGACTGCTGCAGGATCAGCAGAGAGCAGGGCGTTTCATTTTTTTCCCGCCATTTTCGATCAGATGGATAACCTCTTTCTTTTGCTTTTTTTCTTTTTTTTTTCGTTATTGTATCTAGATGGATAACCTCTCTCGGTAATGATAATATGATCGGCATATGGTAGAGAGAACCTACGAGAGCCTCATTTAGCCAAAAACTTTCCCGCCATCAGAGGTACACAGCCCTGGCTCATTTAATAAAAAAATTCCTGCCATCAGATGCGTGGCCTGTCTAGTTATGTCTAGTTAGTTTATAATCGGAATTTCTCACGATGAGTTATGTCTAGTTATGTCTAGTTAGTTTATAATCGGATTTTTTCCACAGGTACCTTGATGGCAGTGGTTGGTGGTCCCCATCTCCTCAGAAGGCTATCAGTTGTCGGGCAGTCGTTGATGCTTAATCACAGCCGGGGTTACGGTGGATTCACTTACAGTGTAATCAGTTAGGGGCTTCTGCAGACTGTTTTTTGAGGGTTCAGGCTCCTGATGAGTCCGTGAAACTCCGACGAAACACTGACACAGTTTGCCACAGCCCCTCCCTCGTTGTTGTCCTCTTCTCCCTCTCTGCCTATGGTTTACCAGGCAGCTCTGTTTGACTATATATATATATATATGTGACGATATATATTATATATATATCGTATATATATTTACCAGGCAGCTCTGTTTGACTATATATATATCGGTAGTTATCTGGCCGGATAATCTGGGTTATCTGGCCGGATAATCTGGCCGGATGATAGGGGGTAGGATCATCCGGAAATCCGGATGATTAAAAAAAAAAAGGCCAAAAAAAAGCAAAAAAAAGAAAAAAGAAAAAAAAGATATTGCGCATGCAAAATACAATAGACTACATTCTTATTTCATGAAAAGCTTGATCTAGCCAAACGTTGTTCGTAGGGATGTCAAAGATGACCTCAAAGGGGGCATTGAAGGGTTCAAAGGGGGTAAGATAGGGAATAAAGGGGTTTAGAGGGGGGATGCTTAATTCATTGTATAATTTTTTATCTAAATATTATTTTCTTCTTCTGTTTTATTTTTTATATTTCTATCTGTAGAGATGTCAAAGATGACCTCAAGCCAAACGTTGTTCGTATCATTCATATGAACAACATACTTTTTTTCCAGATTTTTTTGATTTTTTTTTTTTTTGGCAGGAAAAAATATTTTGCGCAGGGCCGGATTTTCCATATCCGGAAGTAATCCGGAAATTTCATCCGGATTGAAAATTCTGGATGAAATTGGTCTGCCATCGGGCCTGTACTAGCAGGCTCTTCTTTGGTTATGGTAGAAAATGTTTCCTTGATTTATTTGGAAGCGCACTCAAGAATTGGTTTATGTTGGAAATAGCTTGAATCCTTGTCCTATCATCCCATATTTTCTCCTGTTGCTTTTCCCTTTTCCCCTTTTTAGGGGTATTTCGTTTTGTGGGCCTACTGAATGGTTCCGTTTTTTTAACTACGGATATGGTAGAATGTTTGTTTTCTGAATGAGAATCGTGTCTGCTTCGATTCCGGTTGATCTTGTCCCCTTATTTGGTCTATTCTTAGGGAGGGATGGCGGTGCTTCATGAGGGATTGGTCATCGGGTTATCGTTTTGCAGGCAAGTGTGTTTTGACATCCTGGTTGGTCTTGTCCCGTCGTTTGGCCTGTAGTTGCCGGGGGCGGTGTTTGCATGTGGGACTTGTCATCTCGGATTGTCATCCTGTTGAATGGGCATCCTGGTTGGTTGGTTCCCGTTGTTTGGCCTTTTGAGCGTGGGGCGGTGCTTGTATGTGGGAATTGTCATCCGGGATCCTGTTGAATGGGCATCCTGGTTGGTTGGTTCCC